CTTCTTGATTTGTAATGGGTATTTGCCTAAATGAAGATAAATTACTTTTGTTAATAAATACATCAGTAATAAAATTTCTTCATGCTTGATTTGCCAAAGACGTAAAAATTTCAAGATCTTTATTCAAATTATATTCTTCTAGATCTTGATTTACAAAATCAAAGCTTCGTAAATGAGTCTGAAATCTTTGATACTCTATTGTTATTTTTGGTCGAGTTCTTGGTTCAGATGTTTGACGATCATTGTATCTGATTACTTGAAACAAATTGCTTCTAAGCTAAATTTAATATTAATTAATAGTACAATTATGCGCATAGTTAGTTAATTTAATTAAATTCTATTACCTTGATAAACTTTTTGCAATTACGTGTGGCAATTTTCCAGTGATTATGTTGTGGAACAGGAGATATTAGGGTTTTCAAGGTCTTGTTTATCTCTTCTAGGATTGCATCTAATCCTTGGTGTTGTTTAAAAATACCTGACTTGGAAATAACACAGTTTTTTTCTATTATATTACGTATTACCGAATGAAGCCACATCAGTTGAATTTCATCAAAGGCTTCTATTAGATGATATATAGGATAATATCTCGCAGACCAGATTGGTGAAAAGATTTGCCTAGCAGCTTTTTTTAAAAGAGAATTGTTAGTTCTTATAGCCTTCTGATAATTGATTATAGATTGAAGATAAACAAACGTCTATTAAAAAGTGATTAAAAAAATTAATATCAAAATTTTCACAAAAAAAAAAAAAAAAAGATAATAATTAATCGCAACCTGCTCATATTTAATTCGATAAAGTAAATCTTGCTAACCAGCCCAGGAAATATATCCTTCAACCGACAAGTCAGAATGACTCTTTATATACGGCCACATAAGCTCTATAGAAATCGTATAATGATAAATGTTACAGATAGAATCTCAAGACTTATAATGATCCACGTATTTTTTAAAATAAGCAAGCTGGTTTTCTGTCCGGTAGCCTTGACATTTTGCGAATCGTTTAATATCAATTTCCTAAATAAATAAAAAAGTTAATAACATGATATAAATTGGCACAATTCATCAGATCATTGACCTAAATAAATCAGTATAACAATTTTATAAAAATGCCTTACCAATTTAATTTCACAAATGCTCGAAGTATATTCATCTCTTCATGAAGTTGTCCCGGTATAAGAACCAGCCAAGGAAACTTTTCTTTAAGTTTGATGGCATGATGATATAGAACACCATCACAAACTACGGCCATCTACTTACGAATTTCGGATTTGATACCTGATATCGTTTCTATATGTGAAAGAACTTTTTTGACATTTGCGATGGAGTTGGGATTAATATTCATTGGGTCGGGAATATAAATCTCAGGAATATTAACTCTTAGATCAATAACTTGTTGGATAAAGCTAATTTTTGGAACACTTGTAACGTTTTGTTCAGTAGCAACACTATATAGTTTAAAAACAAGTAGATGAGTTAATTTATTAGTTATATTATTTTCAATTACTTCTTTTTGTATCTCAGCTAATGTCAGCAACCACATTCCGCATCCCAGACATTTTCTTCTTCGATTTTCAATATTTTGTCAATTATACGAAGAACATATTTTCATACATGTAATGTTAGTTCCTATAGATGAAATAAGAGAATCAATTGTATTATTAGAGGATGATTTTTCTTCAACCAATAAATTAAGAATATCAGTAAGAAAAGCATATAATTCTTCTTCAAAAACTTCTCATGCTTGAGGACTAATGTTGAAAAGTTCTTCATACTGCGACCTGTCAAGAGAATTATAAACCCAAGGTGAATTAGTATGCTGAATTTATTTAATGATGCCATATTAAAAATGACAAAGCTAGTAACAACGTAGTAAATCACAATATTGAATCCCCAGTCAAGATAGTTTTTCTGCCCCTTTGCTCATTGTCAAATACTAGAAATAAAAGACCTTCAGGCAAAGATTCTTCATTCTTTAACAACTCCTCTAACCACTTTTGGAATTGATATTCACTTTCCGAATTCATGATATGATTGTTGATATTAATAATCATTCTTGACCTGGCAATCGAATATTTAATAGCTGAAAGAGCAAGCAGAATTTCTGATACATATCTTCTATGACGTGCTCCACATATTAAATCAATAGCAGTAGCAGTTTTAAACAACTTTTCTTTGCTTAAAGTATCATCTTGAGCATTCTGAACTAAAGTCTCTATGAATTTGACAACAACCTGATTATGCTTATTAAGCTATTCGTATGAACTATAAACCATGATATTCTCTATAAAAAACTGAGCATTATCATGAATTAACAATTCTACATCATTGTATAATAACATTTGTTCTGAAATAAAGATTAAAGCATAAGTATAGATTAGAAATTGACAATAAATATTAAAGCTTGAACTAATATTCATATCAATATTAAAAAAAAAAAAAAAAAACATATTTAGTATTATACTGACTTGCTTTCACTATTTCAATAACTGAATTAACCTGTTTTTGGGATCAAAAAATCTTGAATTCCACTGTTCAACAAGCATTTCATTATGCTTAATTTTTTCATTGCATAAATCTTAAATTTCAGCCATATTATTATAGGCCCTTCGTAATTTACTCCTCAACTTCTCTATTTTGATTTCTTGATCATCTAATTTACTTCTCAATTTCTCTATTTCGATTTCTTGATCATATATATATTTCTGCATTTCCTCAATTCGACTATTGAGTCTCATTATTAATTTCGATTTTTGCTGATTTTCTAGTCGAACTGAATCTACGAATTGTTTAATTTTATCAAGCTTAACTACCAGATCGGTAGTATTAGCATTTAAATCATCCTCATTAATATCAGGTGAGATATTTGGTTTTCTTGAGTAGGACCTACAAGATGCTCATAAAGCTTAATTATTAATAACAACTTGATTGTAATGTATTGAACAAATTAAATGAGAATCAAGGCTGAGATTAGCAAGATCAGGAAAGAAATTATAAAAAAGTCTAATTCTCTTAGCTGCTAATGGGGCATTTGCGTTTCGCCATTTTCTTTTTCCACAAGGACTTAACCTGATTGCATTATATGCGGTGACCAAACTTGCGAATATACATCCATGGTTTGCTGCTTTAGACACTAAAAAAATTATTGTTTTAATTAACAAGAACAACTTTCTCACTTAACAATATGTAAAAAAATTCTTAATATTAATTTCTCATTTACTTTTTTTAAAACGGCTTACTGGAAGGGATTAAATAGGATTACTGAAAATAGACATTTAATACTGCTTATTCGTATATTATTTAGTATTGAGTAATATGCAAGTAATACACAAACCCTAAGGCAAGTATGACCATAAAAAAATGAACTGCAGCTAATCAAATTCATGGAAATCGCACATGGATTATTCTAGATGTTCTAGAATGCGATTTCCTAATTTGATAAATCGTCGGACTGTAATTGAAGAATTTATATATAATTTATATATAAATCTTGTATAATCTGTATCACATAGCTCTTCAGATAACTGGTGAATCATTTATTAATATATTTAATATAATAATCAAATAATAGCTTTATTATTTATAAACTCATGTTATCAATTTGAATTATTATATAGATTCATGACTTTATATTTCTTGTAATTTTTTAGAGAACAAGACTTCACTGTAGAATTGCTACTTTTAGTCAATAAAGTATATTTAATGTAGTGCAATTAAAATAATAATTTTTATTATTTTGTATTTATATTCATTGAAATTACTAATATTTGCTTGGATAAATTCTGAGAAATAATGATAATAAAATTGAGAAAAAATGATATATTAAAATGTAAAAAAACTTTAAAAGACAATAATTTATCAAGTGACAAGCATCAATTATAGTAAAGTATCCAAGAAATATAAAAAGTATTCTTATATTTAATAATGCAATTAGAGATTTCAAAAACAAAGATTATAAAGCTCTTTTTTTCTACTGCTGATTTTGGTTAACATATCTAGAATTTGGTTACGATTTGTAAAAATAAAAAAGTCTTAAAACTATTCACAAGTTTACAATAGTTTTTATTTTTATTTTTAATTTAATTATATAAACAATTAACTAAACAATTAGTTGACTAATCAATTAGTTAAAACTATATAATTGCTAAACAATTTATCGATTCTCAATTTATATTACTAGACCAAGTTGGCAATAGATTCAATAGAGATGAACTTTAATTAGAATGCAGGGTATGTAGTGCATAATTCTGCTCATATAAAAATAATTTTTTATATCATAAGAGATATATGATTTAAATACTTTTTAAAACTATTTACAATGTAATAAAGTATTTTCAACATGAGCAGAGCTATACTCTGGACACTCTATTGGGCATATCTTTTTTTTAATAATATAAGAATATCCATAATTTATATTATACCGGTATTATTATATAGATCTTAATAACGTGCATCAGTATCATTTTGAATTTTGGTCTAAATTAAGCCCAACTCAGGTCATCATTCAAATAACACCTTGCGTATTATTTTGCGCTTATATAGTACTGTATTTATATTTTTTTATACTTCTATTTATAGAAAAAATCCTTAAAAACATCTTTAGGGCTACGTGCTAGTCTATTATAGTTCCACACTTGTTTTGCAAATCTGATTCAGGTCATCCTATTTTCATATTAACTCATTCTAATTCTTTATTGCCAATTTTACATATAACATAAAATCTGGGTTATTTCTATGTAATTTATTACAAGCCTTACTCGAAGGACTCTCAAAAGAATTTAAAAATCTGCAAATCAAATATAAAAAAAATATTACTAATTTGTTTTATGCTTTACAGAGACTGGTAATTCTGCTTAGCAAGGTGCACTTGTCATTATAGCATAATGTTCTTTATAGTTTGGTCCTAGTACATATTTGTCTAATTGTTCTTAGTTTTCAAAGAAAGATCCATTAATATAATCATTTAATTGTTGTGTATTACTATTATTAAGCTTTCTTCTTTTAAGTAATTACAGCTACAGTAATAAATACATAGGTAGTTTGTTGTGTTATAAGTTGTATAGGGTCACTAGTTGTAGTATTATTAACAACAGCAAGTGCTATGGTAGTTGTCATAAGAGTTGTATCCGTATTGTGGGTTGTTCTTAAATAACCTCTTTTTATATCTTTGGTTTCTACACTCAAGAATTAATATTATTATTCCAATAAATATAGCAAATATCCAAATAAGTAATATTGTTGATGCAGGGTGGTGTAAGTATATGTATTACGTACAAGTTGTGCAATCTTATATGAACATTTAATTAATCAATTGAAAATTTCTTAAAAAACAATACACTAAATAACAATTCAAACTTCATATGAGTAACGAAAAGGAAATTATGATTTTAATAAAAATATCTTCAATTGCTTGATTTTAAAATATTTTTATTAAGAGTGAATATTTAGGAAACATGATTTACAGGTTTTTCCTTTCCATTACACAAATGGAAGAGGTATTTCATTGTACGAATTAATTCTGGAAAAATATAATAATTCCGGCACACAGGCTCAGAAATTAATAAATTTAGTTTAAATTTTGGTCGAATTTGAATATAAATCTGGGCAAAATTGGATTAAGTAAAATTGCTGATAGGTTTCGTGGCTAGTGATGTGAACTGAATATTGAACAGATGATATAAATAATCCATAGGCTACTTTAAACCGATGACTATCCATAGATTTAAAGTAACCTGTAATATTTATATTATCCATTCAATATTTAGTTCACATCACTATGTGTAGCTAATTTATAATAACGCGCAAGGGTGTAATTCCAAATTTCAGCCTAATTAAGTTTATTTTGGGCTGTAGCTCATATTACGCGCAGCATTGAAATTTACTACTGGGGATTGGGACCCAAATGAAGTTTATATCAGATTACATAACTTATTTCAGCATCTATCAGTGCTGAAATACACTAACTATAACTTATTTTGCTTAAGGCAATTTTAATTGTGTCTTCGCTAACTTCATCAATAGCGATAGGTATCCTTCTGTCAATGATCAAATCGATTATAAGGAGTATGTTTTTTATACTTTTTTTTGATTTTCAGTTATAAGTTTAGTTTCATTTAATAAATTATTAATTTGATTATTTAAATTCCTTCTTTTAT